ACTAGATTTTGACTAGATTATTAGATTTTTCCGAGGTTTCGGTTCTTATTACATGCTGTCAAGCTTTTCATTCAGCTTTCGTTGCTCTCAGGTTCTGTATATCAATCATTTGTAGTCCAGTACTGATACATTGCATTGTACAGAAACATGTTCGAAATCATTCTATCTCATCTGCTGAGTACAGCGATTCGGGCCTTGAAGCTAGCGGTTTCTGCATTACGTGCATCGCTGGGTGCTGAGAGTACGATGAGAGCCCCAAATACATACCCACGAAAGATTATTCTTGGCCTTGTTGCGGAACTTGTTCCGGACCTGGTCGACCATCACCTGGGGCCGCTCTTCAACGGTCTCCTTTGGGTAAAGGGAAAAAATGTGTCTGGAGGATAATGCAGCTGGTCAGTTCATCTCTTTTTTCTTTCTTCGCTCACAGTAGACCATAGCCAGTCGAATTGTGGTTCCCTGCAGCAGCTGCACCTACGAATTCGCCTTCAAATCATCACCCAGCCTCGTAAATTCCAGTTCCACGCGTCAGAATCTCATTCCATCTGAAACTGAAGCAATTCAGTCATTCATTGCCGGCGCTGAAGCAGAGGTGACGCGTTGCAGCGATGAGTTTTCTCGTCTACGAGAGATTATAGAGAAAATCGAGAATCACCAGGTCATTCTCGACCAGGGTCACCAATCGACCATTTCCTCGATCCACCCTCAGAACGAAATCGTCGTTGCCGATGGGAGAGAGAATATATCAGGTCAGGTCAATCCCCTTCACTGTCTTTTTAGCTCACGGTCTTGGTCAACAGGTAGTCGAATCGCGGTTTCCTGCAGCAACTGCACCTATGAATTCAGTCTACCATTGCCCAACTTTTCAATGTCCAAATACATGTCTCAGAATGACACTGAAGCCATTCAGTTACTCAGTTCCGGAGCTGCTGAAGGAGAGGTGACACGTTGCAGCGACGAGATTTTGCGCCTTCGTGGCGTCATAGAGCTCGTCGAGAAGCACCAGGCCAGGCTCAACCATGAAATATTCATTCACCAATCCTTTATTGCCCCCATCCATCGTCTTCCACCCGAGCTTTTAGCTCTGATCTTCTCCTTTTTCTGCACCATCGATTTCTGGGATGACCCTTTCGAAAGAATGAGCGATTGCATCAGCGGTTCTTTGTTTAGGGAGCCTTTCATTATTGCAACAGTATGCAGCCACTGGCGCAGCATTGCAGTCTCGACGCCATCACTCTGGGCAACGATTATACTCGGCGATCACGATATAGAGTTGTCGAGGGAGGAATACACTCAGTACTGCTATGAAGAGGACGATGACTGCGGATTCAACGATTCACAAACCTTCCCTGAGGACATCCTGGAAGTTGCCCTCCAGCGCTCAGCTCAACATCCACTGAAGCTCTGGCTACAGTGCTTCAACAACCGCCCTTGGCCTTCCATTTTTACAACCAAGTTATGCCAGGTTTCTTCTCGCATCCAACAAATGAACATTAGCGGCGATTCAGATCCATTTGATGCTGCAAACCCAGTATTTGATCAACTCTCTGCGGTCAAAATAGGCCCTACCGAGTCAGACGGCATGGTCCGACTTCCGTGGCTGCCAACCGCGACCAATATTCGAGTTCTAGTCATCCAGAATGTCGACGATGCAGAGACAGGGTTCTGGACTAGCCTGCCAGTGAAGAGCACTCAATTCCTCCTCATCGAAGCCGATGCATTTACTGTGACGAGAAAGATTTCCACCTCACTCTCCAAATTCACCAACGTCGTGTCCTCGGTCTTGAAGTGCCGGTACAGTGATTACGCTCATCCCTTGGTCTGTCAATCACCGCGGCCTCTTCACTATCTCAGCGTCGATATGACTTGCTTCCGCGGGCGATGCTGTGGAGTACCAGGTTTACGCTGTGACCCTAATGCCAGTTTCGAGCGATGCAAATGCATCGGCAATCTTCTGACGAGTCTGACGCTGCCTGGTCTGAAAGGCCTGCAGATTGTCTGTCATGATCCTGATCATATCCCCTGGTCACAAAAGCACTTTGTTGCATTCATGGATCGATCAGTCATCGCCAAGACCTTGACCTCCTTCTCTGTTCACGGAATATGTGACTTGAACAATAAAAAACTCACTAAAGTGCTCCAATGCATGCCATCCCTGACACGTTTGATCATCTCGGCATTCGAAAATAAGCCTATCATTGGCACAACAATGTTAGCTCGGCTCGCTGGCAATTCCACTCTTGCTTTGGTCCCTCGTCTCAAAATCTTCGATGTGCGGCTCGACGCCACGACTGAAGTTGTCGATGCACTGGTTCGCTTGGTTGAAGCCAGATCTATCCCGAGAGGACATCTGGAAAAGATTGTGATTCGCATGGAGACAAAGGAGCTTCATGATTTGGCGAAGCGAATCGAGGTCGGATTGAAGGGCTTTCCAGGTACTCGTCATGTCATTTCAGAGCCGATTTCTGGTTACTCCAACTTTGATGACTGGTACTAAGTAGATTGCATTTGTTCGAGGTTTTGTTTGCTACATGCTGTCAAGCTTTCCGTTCAGCTTTCGTTCTTCTCGGGTTCTGTATCGTTAATCATTCGTATTCCAGCATTGAATGTCACATTCCATTGCACAGAAACATGTTCGAATCATTCCATCTCGCTGCTGGTGCAGCGGGGGCTAAACAAATGATCCGGGCTGATCCGTGTCGGCGCCTTTATTGGCCTATTCGAGGCTCCACAAGGCAACCACCAAGCTCTTGGTTTCCCAACATGATCTTATTAGCGATGGTCCCATCCAATTCTTGCTCTGCCAGCGCTGTGGCTTGTGACCATAGCACGTTGCTTTGGTAGCACGCGGTCGCAATCCTTGTATGATCTCTTCTGATATTTTGGGGCTGTACATCGTCCTTCGAATTCCTTTCCCAGCACCTTTCATTTCTTTTTATAAGCATCGTGCAGGCCATCGCTGGTGACTGGCCACCATGCTGTTCTCACCCCTCATTCTATCCCTTCTCTCGATTCGCGGTGTCGTCGGGGTCTCTTTGCCCGAGAAACGGTTCGTTTAATGAGAAATATCGGCGGTTTTCGTTCTAATCCATTCTCAGAGCCACTGTTTGCAACGGTCGCGCTGAGCTCTGTGCTCGACCATACGGAAACACGACTTTCTTTGGCTCGCATGATTCATTCGCTTTCAGCAGCGATCCTTTTGCCCGTCCGTCTGATCCAGTTCTCTGAATTCAATGGGCTCATGGTTTACAGTCGCTCGAGATCAAGAGGTGGATATTCCGACCCAGCTGGGTCTCGGTGTGAGATTCTTGCAGGCTCAGGCTCATTTGTGCGTCATCTCTATCTCTGTTCGCTATGCAGCGCTCAACCCATCATGCAGAAACAACAACCAAATACATTTCTGTCATACCAGTGCGTCTATCCACAGATCTCGCTTATCCTGCTGATCAAGGAAACAGCCTGCACTCTTTTCGATGGGGGTCTCGTCGTCGATTACCTGACCAAAGTCAAGACATTCTTGGATGCCAACCCTAATGAAGTTATCACATTACTATTTACGAACCCGGAAGGACTATCGATGTCAGATGTCTGGGCTCCTGCTTTCCAGACTTCTGGTATCAGCGACCTGGCCTTTGTTCCCCCGCATATCCCGATGAAGGTCAGCTTGCTTGGTCTCCTTTGCTTCTCTTTCTGAGGTTCTCCAGCGCTCCGAATGGCCGACCCTTGGCTCCATGATTGACTCTGGCAAACGTGTTGTAGTCTTTATCGATTCGGGTGTAGATAACTCGGTCCCGTACATTCTGTCTGAATTCGACATGGTATATAAAGTCTCGTCGAGGTTTCCTTCGCTGATCTCTTATACTAGCTCTGGGAACCACCATTCTCTGTCACCGACGCCACATTCCCTTGCAGCGTCGACCGGATCTCAGGACCTTTGAGCCCTGCTGATCATCTTAGCATGTTGAACCATAATCTCAACATCGACGTACGTATCTCGGTTCTTCCAGCTCGACATTTTTTGACTCTGTACAGATTTTCGGGATTCTGCTCAGTGATCCCGAGCAAGCCGGTACGACCAATGGTGTCCCTTCCATTCTGGCGAATGCGAATGGTTGTACAAGCCTTGCCGGTGGTGTAGCACCCAACTTTGTTATGCTCGACTATGTCAATATTGGTAGCGGGATGCAGGCGGTAAACTTGCTCAATGGGTTCTCTTCTTGAGCTTCTTGTAGGTGGATGTTGTATGTATGTTATCAGTCAAGTTTTGATACCCGTCATGAGGAGCCAGTTCGTCGTAATGTACAAGTCTTGTTGGTCCCATTCATTCTGAGGCGCGCTTTTCATCACTCACTCGAGAGAAAGTGGAGCAGCTCGGAGGGAGAGGACTAAAAAAAAATGCAGCTTGCGACGGGGAAAGGAGTCTATCGCTCAATTGTCCAATCAGCGATGGGACTCGAACCCACAGCCTGGGTCCCGACCCTGTCATTGTCCACACGTTCACATCCTGGTCGAGTTCAGTGTTCACCCATCGATGGTCCGCTAATTGGCGGTCTTGAATCCATCCGAATCTATACCCCATCAGTCTCGTCTTCAATTTTTGTGCAAAAAAGCAAGCAACTTACAGTGAACCTCTTGTCAGGCTGGACTCTCCTTGACCTACCAGGACTTGAAGCCAATATTCTGTGCCATTTCGGAGAGAAATGGCTCCCGGAGGTCTCTCAAGGAGTGCTCAAGGTTGACCGGGCACAGGTGGTCTTTTCCGTTTCTGGCGAATTCTGCACGAAGACAGGGGGCAAGGAAGTAACGGACCTCCGAGTCTTGCTCTTGTCATGCCGGACTCCACTTATACCTCCCAGAACTTGAAGCCGGTATTGTACTGGTCGTTGGGAGATGAATGAGCTTCTGGAGTGCCCAAAGTTAACCGGCTAAAGTGGACTTAAAAAAAAAAAAAAAAAAAGGCAGCCTAGCGGCGGAGCAAAAAGGACTAAAATAAGATTGAGAACCAACGATGGGACTCGAACCCACAGCCTCTGCCTCACTGAGGAACCCCGTGCCCCGTGGGTTCAAGTCCCATCGTAGGAAAGCAGTGCACTACCATTGTGCTACGTTGGCGCATGAAGGATGTATCGCGTGATTATATATCCACGGATGAAAGATTAGTAATCACTGCAATATCACTATTGATATCATTTCGACGTCTAGGCTCCCAAAAGATTGTCGAAAAATACTCGCAAGACCTGTCCTGACCTGTCCAAACAAAAAAATACAGTATTTGACCATTGGCCTGTACACTCAAATGAAGATGACACTAGCATTCAGAATCCAAGTGTAGCAAATACAGCTGAAGTGTATGAGCCTTGAGTGAGATATACCAAGTGTCTCTGATCCAAATTTCAAGGCCAATGGTCAATATCTGACCAAGATACAGGCCAATCCTTGCAGCCATGCCTTGGGGCATGACAAATGGCTGAGCTGCATGCTTTGTATTTTGGCCGAGATCATCAACAAGAACTGGGTAGATGATGTCCGAATGTGATCCAGCAGTGTTCATGATACCATTCATGACATAGTTGGCTTGCATCGTTCTTGCTGTAGAGGATGGCTGACTGTTCCACGGCTGAAGGTTCAAATCATGTCACATATGTGACATACTGGGCATCAAATCTGTTTCTGCTCTACTGCGAGGGATTTGTTGCGAAATACCTCAAGATTTTTGCATAGAGTTCAGGTGAGTGTACCTCCAGTCTGCTCCAGACCTCAAATATTGATATACATATCCAATAGAGGGCACAATACCAACATTATTATTTGTAGCTTTTGCTGATTGCATCAGCAAAATTGTAATTCACTTCTCCGCTTTTTCCGTATTTCCACTTGTTACAAGCGGAAAAGCGGTAAGCGGAAAAAGCGGACTCTAGTACTATGTACCTAGTGGATAAGTGAGTACCAAATACTGCTGATGTGCAATGAGGAAATGAAAAGAACTTGTTCATTCTCAAAATATAGGTGTTTGGTGCTGGTATGTCCCCACCACTTTTCCCGCTTTTTGCGCTTTTTACAACTTTTCTGCACTTTTTGCACTTGTCATGAACGAGTAAAATCTGCGCTTTTTTGGAAAATGGACATGTCCATTGGCACTTTTGCGCTTTTTGCACTTTTTGCATATTTTTGCGTGTTTTAGCGTGTTGTGCTACTTGTAGCTACTTGTACAAGTCAAAAAAGTTATTTGTCATCTTGCTGATGTGACCGATACTGGACTATGGGAAATGGCTCTGGTATTGTGCTTATTAGCACTTCTCCTAGTGGAGTTTCAGTCCATTCTATGTTTTAGAAAAATGATATATTTAGCATGTATCTAAGGCATGAATGGCTACTTGTAAAGGTGTAAAGGCTGGATTGCCTTGTGACCTTCTCTTACACGTGCACCGATGAACAAGACCAAGTATATTGGGGTTCACAGTGCTGATGGTGAGTACTGTAGTTTTCCGACCGGAAGTTCGTCACGCGTCACACTGGGCGCTGAACTGAACTGAAAATAGCGTGACATCACGCTAGATTTTGAGCTCTGAACTGGGAGGTGTGACATTCCCACGGGCCCAAAAAGGGAATTTCTCGCCGCAACGGCTCAAAAAAGCCTTAAAAGCAGCTAGAATCACTGTTTTTCAGCCTCTTTTTGTGTGCCAAAACAATAAAAACATTCCCTTGCAAATCCAACTGCTCAATGGACAATCCAAAAAGTATCGGACATTTTCTTGAACTGGACTGTCACGCTCAATCCGGAGGTCTGAACTGAAAAAATAGCGTGACATGTCATGTGACGAGCGTGGGAATGAACTTCCGGTCGGAAAACTACAGTAGTAAAGAAGATAAAGTAAAAAAGTAGATGCATCGAGTCTTATATAGGCGAATCAATGCTTAAGTAAAGCTATGCATTGTCGCAAAATCTCAAATTAGATGACCAGAGCTGAAAAGAACTGGTCAGTGCTGGTCAGGCCGTCGGAGTATTTGAGCCTGATCAGGCTGAGAAGGGTGTGAGCAGGTCTGAACAGGCCTGAACAGGCCTGATCGTCTCTGACGCCGCTGATCAGGCTGACCGGCCTGATAAGTGGTGAAAAGGGCTGTTCAATGAAAGGTGCAAAAGGCTTTAAAAGGTCTCCACAGTACTGCCACCCGAGAGTGAGTTGTACTGGTCAGTATTTTACTTGGTTACTACAACTTACGAGTATGGACCTGTATGGACTTACATTTAAACATTGTGAAAGGACAGAGTCAAACTTGTGCGACATTAAAACAAGAAATCTTATGCAGACACGTTTGACTACTATAGAGTCAACTAGAACATATGTTACTTTCCTGTATATATACCCATCTTCTGATCAGACCTGATCCAGTCTGACTAGTCAGCCTTTTGCGAAAGTCTGACATCTTGCTCTTAGAGTCTTTCTTCTTTATGGTACATGTGAAAGAATCGAGGACTCAGAGGAGCACCCCTTCAACTTGTTCCAGGTCAGATATGTATCCCTAGATGACAATGGTCTCTGGCTCGAGACCTCCTTTGCTGCAATACCAATTGGAACGACAAAGGACTGACTACAACATATTTCTACCAGCCATTAGAGCCTGTATTCGGTGATGAATCAATGATGAACTGACCAGCTCTGACGAGGTCTGATACAGTCTGATCACACTCCGCGGCGAACTCAGCAGACCTGATCAGGCCTGATCAGGCCGTCAGACTTCGTCAGCGCTGATCAGACTTTCCCACTTTTTGCGACACAGCTGAAGAAGTAACTATCCGTTACACTACTGTACAGTTGACCCATAGTGTACAGCTCAATAGTCAAATACTGTAGTGGTAAGAAGCTCTTCCATCTCATTTGGCATCCCATACGGTAGTAGATGGTTTCGGTGCTATTTCGTCGTATTGGTCTGACATTAGGGATCAAATGTATCACGACAATACGAACCAAACATCATGGAAGGAGGTTGAAGACTGGTTGGCTGCTCCTGCGAAAGGCACTGTTGATCCAGAGCTCAGTTAGAGGCTTCTCGAATACCTTGGCATTAGACCACATAACTGTGTGAAAGTCTCCGAGCCTATCGTCAAATCGACTCGAGGCGATTCGGTCAGAATACTGAGGACTTTGTGCGCTGAGCTCTATCGAGACATCTCACCAGACGAGAAACCTTCACTAACACTTTTAGTCTCACAAGCCTGATATTTTCTAGCTTTATAAAAAGTAGGCCGAGGCGACTAAGGCTGCACACTGTCCCGTCGACGGGATACGGCCATACAATCGACGGGTAAAAACAGGTACGGGTCTTGAAGCTTGAAGACCCGTCCAAAAATCTCGAACGGGACGGGACCCGTCGAAAACGGCCGTTTGACGGGAGACGTGTCTCAAGATAAAACGATTATGAAGCTCCTAAAGGTGAGAAGGTGATCTAGTGATATTAGAAAGTGCTACTTACCTACTTGGATCAGATTTGGTGGGCTTGGTATCACAATACCGTGACAATATCTGTGTTAGCTGTCCAATTAAGGTCGGATTTCATCTCGGGAATGCAAAGGAAGACTCACTGGTCAATATAAATAACCAGGGTGACCTCAAAACCGTTACGGAAGCTATCAGGAAATGTGGCGCAATTGCCTTGTTCAGTCATATTTGCTCGCTTAGGCCATCAAAGAACTCCTTCACTCGGAAAACCTGTAAATTATACTTCCCTTGATCAATCTCTGACTCGTAGGATCGCTGCGAATGCTGGAAATGGAGCTAGATCAACCATACCAGGACAAGTACGGTCTAGACGGCTGTCACGGCCATTTTTTGACGGTTCAAAATGGGTGTACCCGTACCGTAGAAAAATTCGAAAACTTCTCGACGGGACGGGGTACGGGTCTCATACGACGGGCCCGTCTAAGCGATAGACGGCGACGGTTGCGCAGCCCTAAAGGCGACTGGAAACTGAACTTTTGAGACCATACAGTATACAGTATTTGACCACTGAGCTGTACACTCTGGTTGTGTTGTACACCTCTGTAGCAGATACCTCAGGAGGGAAGGCTGATGGGCAACAACACAATAAATAATAGAACCAAACGCAACATTTTTCACCTATATTTGAAGGAAAGAAATGACTGAGATACGAGTTTTGCAAAATGGGACAAAATATTTCAAATGATAATCCAATGGACTATCACCGAGTTGTACAATAATAATAATTAGTCTATCGATTGTTTCATCCGTAAACTTTTGTGAATCTCAGACAAACTTGACAGTGTTAACCGATGTCCCAATTTGCTCCACCCCGACTTCGACGACATCTTTGTCTACCAACCTACGAAGATGTCAGCAGGAGACGAGATAAAAGCGGAAAATACCCACCAAACTCCTTGAGCATTGGGGAGCGTCCCGGGCCTTGACGCGTCGCTTAGTACTGGAGCTTGAGTAAAATGTGTAAGAGACGTACGTTCCGGTGAAGATAACATCCCCCGGGTACAATGTAGTGCCCATGGAGAGGAAAGAAACCGTAGATTTGACATCAAAGATCAGCTGTGACATGATCTTGTGAGCAAAGTATCAGGACGACGAAAGATGTCTCACCTGCGAGGTGCTGGAATTCTGGGCGTATACGCCATTGACCTTGGTCCATAGGTTCAAGTTCTCCGGGTTAGGTATGAGATCGGCAGAAACGATTGCGGGACCCCAAGGTGCCCATCCGTCTGCTCCTTTTCCCATCGAGTATTGCGGTTCTGGCTCCCCTCCTCGGTCCCTCTGCCATCCACGATGAGAAAAGTCATTGCCGACGCTGTATCCCAAGACATGGTCCATTGCAGTATCGGCTGAGATGTTGAAAGCCTCTTTCTTGATGATGATCTGAGATATTGTGAGAGAAGAGCTTTTCATACAACGGGCCTACTTACCACGAGTTCGGTTTCGTAAACGAGGGAGGCTATGAAATCGGGCTGAGCTTGATATCCAGCGCTGACGGGGATGGGATCATGGGGTCCGCTCAAAGAGGTCCAAGGTTTATAGAACAGAATCTAGTCACTCAAGTCAACTTGCATATCAAAAGAGGATCTTTACTATACCGGCCAGAGAGGTATGGTA